TCTATCTATCTATCTATCTATCTATCTATCTATCTATCTATCATCTATCAATCATCTGTATTGAGCATTGAACACCCCAGGGTCTTGTACATGCTCAGCAGGTTCTGTACCAATGAGCAACACCCCTGGCTCCAGCGTTAGATTAAATATAATATACTATCTGAGTTTACAGGAACAAATATATTTATTGAACTAACTAATATGGTAAAACTATCATCAATTCAATGACATTCAGTTGTGTTAATGACATGCAATTTTGCTTAAGTAAACTGGCATAACCAAAGACATTGACTTTCGAGAGCTTAGAGATAATGGTCCAAATCTTCCATTTTACATGGTAGAAAATTATGTTTCAAAAATATTACTTACATAATTTATTAGTAAAAGTCTGACCTTTGGTGACTTTTACTCTCAATTTAATCAAAGTTGAAATGGTCTTGTTATAGGACATAACTAGCATTGAGGTACGTTTCAGCAAATTCATTTTTACGTGAATCAGTCTTACTCCTTTCTCCCTACCTAGAGAATGTCTGTTCCCTCGGCCCCTGTGTGGGCCCCACTGACGGCACTAGCACTTTCCCATGTCCCTGCTAATTGCCCAAGGAGGGGGGAGATCCCTAGGCGCTGGCCCCCAGTTAGCCCTGTGCCTGACCTGTAGAGACAGCATGCCCAGACTGACAGTGCTTCCAGGCCGAGGTCACTTTCACTGGGGAAAATGGGAGACCATGAGTCTGAATCCAGCTTTCAGCACTCATTAAGCTGCTTAGAATTCACCTACGCAATCAAGGCCCTTCTACTTGGGAGGAGTCAGTGTTTAGCAAACACATTCGGCCCTATGAGCCCCAGAACCTATGTACTTGTGAGAGACAGAGCTTCTCCTCCTGCAGGTTCTGAATTGTCAGGTCTGCTGCGGCAGATTAGGTAAGGCCAAGGGGCACCAATTAGGGCTGCCCAGCAGAGACCAGGCGCCCACACAGAGTGTAGTGGCTGAGTCAGGAAAGGACAGGCTTGAAGCTAGGACCTAGACACAAAGGCCGAAGACCTTGGTCACGCTGGTCAGGGCATGCATCAAATGCTCTAGAATGAAATAGTGTGCTTCTCCTAGAATTGTACAATTAGGCTAGTGTTGGTATGTCAAATTAAAAGTCCCTATGGGTCATGATGTTCCCAATGTCTGGCACCTTTATCACTAGGTACATTTTACTGGAACTAAAATAAAATGTACTACATAGCAATGGCAAAGAAATCTTATACAGAGCAATTCTTCCCATAAAAAATGACAATGAATGCTGGAGAGGTTGTAGGTTTTTTTTTTTTTTTTTTTTTTTCGGTACTAGAGGTTGAACTCAGGCCCTTATACTTGCCAGGGAAGTGCTTATTCCACTGAGCCATCTCCCCAGCCCAAACGGATGTGAGTGTTTTTTGTTTTTTGTTGTTTGTTTTTTTTTCCCGGAACCGGGGATTGAATTTAGGCCCTTGCACTTGCCAGGAAAGTGCTTATTCTACTGAACCATCTCCCCGGCCCCTGGAGAGGTTGTAGGAGAAAAGAAATCTTTCTACACAGTTGGTGGAAATGTAGACTAGCAAATCACTATGGAAATTCCTTAGAAAATTAAGAATAAAGATCCAGTGTGATCCAGCTATATATACATCTTCCTGAAAAAGTGAAAGACATTATGTAACATGCACATTATATTACATGCATACCCATGTGTGTAGAAGTATGATTCATAAAAGCTAAATCTTAGAAGCAGCCTACATGACATCAACAGATGAATGAGTGAAGACATATAGTATTTATACACCATGGAGGACTACTCTGCCTTGAAGAAGGCTACTTTTGAGTTATCCGTAGAAAGATGGATTCACCTTGAGACCATAATGCTAAGTGAAATAAATCAGGTATGGAAGGTTAAATACCACATGGTTTTTCTTATTGGAGAAGCTCAAATTATAAAAAATTTAAAGAGCAAAATAAGAGATAGATGATGGGAAACATGGAGGTGGGCTGTGAAGATGGCAAGGGTACTAGGAAATGGGGGCAACTGTAGGGAGGGAAGGAGAAATGAAAAGGCTCAGGGTGGGGTGCAGTGTGTACCTGCACCGCTTCCCCATGCAGACAATAGCTGTGCGCCACAGACATTTGCTAATAACAAAGGAAAGCGATGGAGAGTTCTGATGCACTAAAACCATTGGCTGAGGCTGTCAGTGCAGAAGCATCTCTACGAATGGTAGGACATCTTTTTCTTCAGTGCTTTAGTCTCTGACTCTTGTTGGAGAGGAATGCCTTTCAGTGTGACAGGAGGCTAACAGTGTTCAAGCTTTCAAATTGTTTGGATTGGCATTAACTTCTGCCTTTATTCCCCTCAACTTCATAAAGTTTATCTTCTGAGGCCATCCCTTCCATTCCCCCATAGAAGGGATTGGGTAAATTACTTCACCTCTCAAGATCTCAGTTTCCTTATTGTAATACAGCAATAAAAACTGTACTTTCTTCAAAGAGTTCTTGTAGAAAATAAGTTAATTATTAATGTGGCATGCTCAGAATAATGTCTGACAAAAAGTGCTTATTATCGTTGTCATTGCAGAATGTGAGTAGTTACAAAGCTGATGGTAAGAAAGGAAGGAGAATTGCTGGACAGTGTGGACGACCAACGACAATGGTGCCCCTCGTTTATATTTTTTTGTTCATGCTCTCTGCAATGTGTCTTGGCCACACCTTCCTGTCAAGGGATGGGGCCTATTTTCCTGCCCATTGAGTCTGAGATGACACAAGACTTCCCTAGACCAGTAAACTGCAATGGAAGGCTTCGGTGTACCACTTCCAGGCCTGATCCTTGACAGGCTGTGCATGGTGCTGCTCTGTCTCTAGGAGCCGTGCCTCTGCCATGAGATGATCCTCAGGCTGGGCTTCGGGGGAGGAAGCAGAGATGAGGTCATTCTAGACCCACCAGGCAGAGAACCTGTCCCTCTGAGTCCAGGTGACGTTGCTAACCTGTGGAACTGTGAGCTAAAGAGGCTGGCGTTGTTTAAGCTTCTAAGCTTCTAGGTAGTATCTTAGCTACTTTTTTTCATCGCTGGTATATGTTACCCAACACCCAGAGTTGAAGGGTGAAAGGTTCATTGAGCTCACAGTTTGTTGGGTTTTCAGTCCATAATCAGCTGGCTCCAAGGCTCCAAGGAAGGGTGACTGCATAGAGGAGAGCAGTTCATGAAGGGAAGAGAAAGTGAAAGCAACAGGAAGACAACACTCTATCCCTTGCCTTGTATCCAGTCTATCAGGATTAGGGCAGTGTGAGTCCAATCAGTGGGCTGATCCAGCAATCACCCACCTTAATCCCAACATTAGATTAATCCCAATCACACACTCTAGAGTCGGCCACTTCCCCCAAAACCCTATGACTGTATGAGGCTTTAGAGGGATAAACTGTAGTACTGGCTTGAAGATCAAAGTTCTTTGATGTTTCTCAGACACCCATACGCCTGCCACATGAGATAGCTTGCTTGTACAAATTACCTACCTGCACACAAAATTTCATGACAAATTGATTTTGGTCTCATTTATTTAGGCCCTCACATATGCCCTGGCACATGAGCTCAAATACTGTTGGGAAAATACATCAGATCAGCCTGGCAGGCAAAGCAAGTTTGTGCTGTACACCGAGGAGTCCTCAGGTAGACCTCAGTTCTCTCCCTAGAGTGCTTCACTGACAGTTCTGCAAATTACCTCACAAACATTGGTTGAGCATGTTGAGCATCCTCCACGCCCGGCACAGCTATAGACACAGGGGAGATCTCAACCAATGCACACAAGCTCTTCCTTCCAATATGGGTATTACTTTCCAGTTTCTGCTGTCACAGATTGCCACATACATTTATTATCTTATAGTTGTGGAGGTCAGAAGCCTGAAATGGTTTCACAGGCTGGTTCCTTCAGGAAAGAGAGAATCTGTTTCCTTGACCTTTCCAGTTTCTAGTGTAGGATAGTTACGTGGTGTCAACTTGAATGAGAATTACCTAGTGGTTTGGTTCAGCCCAGTTCTGGGACTGATTGGATGAGTGACTTCCTGAACAGGGAAGCCTCACTCTGAATGTGGGTGGCACCAGCCAAAAGGCTTGTGCCTGAAAGGAATAAAAAGGGAAAGAAGGGAGTCTCACTTTTCTATGTTGCCAGTCTTTACCATTGCCTTTAGTCATCCATCACCAGGCTGCCAGCACAGACCCTTTGGCTTTATTTCTATTTATTTATTTATATTTTAAAGAGTAACAACAAAAACAAAAGCAAAGAAAATAGCAAAAACAGAGAAACAGAAACATACAACAATATGTATGGTACAGAATTTCAAAACAAGAATAAAAAATCAACAATGGTTGTTATACTACATATTTTTATTGTCAAATCTGTTGCTCGGGTTAACAGATACAGGTATGCAAGATTGGTCAAAAAATTAAGCATTAATGCTTGCTTTTAATAAACCTTATTTTTTTCTTGTCTTTTTAATTTTTTCATTTATTTTAAAGGGATTATAATAATAATTGATAAGACCTTAGAAATGGTACATACTTAGAAGAACAAGATGAGAGGTATTCAACTTTGGTTTTTGTATTGAGCATTGTTGTCTTTGATGTAGGTGCTCAGATTACAATTTTAGCCCATAGAGTAGTCAAAGTGAAAATTTTAAAAATCAACTGCTACTTAAAAAAAATGATGGAAATTAGTAGTACAATCATCTCAACCATCATGTATATATATTGGCATGATGTTTTTCCTCCTTCTTTTTTTCCTTCTCTTTTCTCCTTTCTCTCATCTTCATTGTTTATTCCTAATGTTCAGTTTCTTTCTGTTTTACTGTATCTATTATACCATTGAGATTTTGTTTATTCCTACCCTAGGGAGACAATATGACATTTGCACACGTGGCCCTGATTTACTTCACTTGTGAGTGTAGCCTCTAGTTACATCGTTACCTGTACAGGCCTAACGTTCATCTTTCTGACAGGGACTTGCGTGGCACTCTGCGGTGAGCCCCAGGCCTTAGACTTCTGGCTGAATCCTCTAGCTCCCAAGCACATAGACTGTCCTTTTGCATTCTTCCCCACCTGACTATGCAGGCAGCCATTGTAAATCCATAATATACGTCATGAAATCTATTCCTCTGCTGAGCCCTGACCAATACCCAGAGCTTGTCCATGTTCCCCGGCCTCCTCTTCCGTCTCTGAATCCAGAAGCACGGCTTCTTTGCTCTGACACTATATCCATTTCATGCCTCTCTTTTGTTCTGGTCATCCTGCCCTCCTTTTATAAGGATCCTTGGGATCATCCAGGATAATTTCCCCTTCTTAAAAATCTTGTTAGAATCTCTTCTGTATGGCCTTCTTTCATCACAGAAGATAAAATAATTATAGGTGTTGGTCTTTAGGGTATGGATTTGAGGCCCCATTATCAACCTACCATAAGGATATTACAGTTAAATCATTTATATGGAATATAGTCTAAATTCTCAACTATGACTCAGAGAAACTTTTCTGCTGCTTTCCCCATCCTCTTCTCTTGTAACTCCTTGCTGCAAATACATAGCCCAGTGATCCCGACCTGCTTCTGACACTCTTTCCTCAGAACACATCCACCACTTCTCACCCTCAGGGTTTCTACCTGTCTATGAGGCCCTACGATCTCCAGCCCTTCCCTTGCATCCCAGCAGCTCTGGCAAAACACAGTCATCCCTCAGGATGTATTGCATATTAGAGATTGGTTCCCCAGCTCTCAGGAAGAGCAAAATTCAAAGTTGCTTGAATTCTTTATATAAAATAGTGTAGTCTTGCATATATCCTATGCATATCCTTCCACATGCTTAAATAATCTCTAGCTTACTTGTAATACATGTAATAGTTTTTATGCTATATTGTTTAGGGAATAAGAATGACAAGAAAAATCTGTACATATTCAGTACAGATATAATTTCTTTTTTTAAAAGTATTTTTAAAAATTAATTTATTTGATACAGGGTCTTGCCATGCAGTTCAAACTCATAGTGATCTTCCTGTCTCAGCCTCTCAAGCACTGGGATTATACCCATGTTTCCCCACACCTGGTTTTGGGCTGGCACAGTATGCCTGGGGTACCAGGAATTGAACTCAAGTCCTTGCACTTGCCAGTCAGTCACTTAGACCACTGAGCTAGCTCCTCAGCCCCAGATATAATTTCTTAAAATATATTTCTTATCCTTGGTGAACTTGTTATGGGTTTCTCAAAATTAAAACCAGATCAGAAGCCAGATTGGATTTTAAGAGCCTTTATTACTGAGCTCAGGGCTGCCTGTTCTCATGCAGGAGAAGACTGATTCGCCCCTAGCCCAGGAAGCAAGGAGTTTTTAAGGCAAAAATAGCATGAGTAAGGGGTCTTTCACAATTTAGGACATGTGCAACTTGCCTGCGTGGAGGCTGCTTGAGTAAATTGTTTTTACAAGATACATCTTAAGCTGACTATGTTTACAGAATTAAATTAGGGAGGAGAGGGATAAGGTTACTCAGTTACTCCTTACTAAACAGCCTTGAATAGAGGGTGAGAACACATTCCTTAGAGTAGATAACAGGAAGCATAAGGGAACCTAACAGTTTTCCATGGTTACAGCTCAAAATTCAGCTGACCCATTACAAACTGAATCTGCAGATAGAGAGTTTATGGCCCTGGTTAGCTTTTCCCAGGCACAACATCACTTTAGCTGAGAAATATTATCCGTAACACCACAGTCCACAAACGCTTCTGTTGGTGAACCCTGTGTTCTAGAAGGAAACTGTTCGACAAGGTTTGCCTCCACCCCACCTCTGCATAGGTGATGAACAGGACCACGTCCACCTTCCCACACAAACACAAACGAGGACTCTTCCCCAGAATGGGACGAATTAAGTCTGCAAACCGAGGTTTCACTGTAACGCCCTTGGCATTTGCTCTTGAAGGACCCCATGCCTACTCACCATCAGTGTTGTGGAAGCCCAGGAGAGCGCTTAGTGTTGTTTTTCTCCTTGAGTCCAGCAGTTCTTCGAGAGCACAACGGGGCCTGCACTTCGGCAGCTTCATCCCTTGTTATGGCATGGTGCACTCAGTAAGGGCTTAAGAAACGTCACCTGGATAAGTACCAGTGAAACTATTCGCCAATTAGCAAATGATACTAGGCAAAAAGGAGGGAGAAGTTGGAATTTTTATATGCAGGTTTAATGGGGGGGGGGGCCTCAGCCTGCCCTAAGGGCGGGGCTGGCGCAGCCTGTGGTTCTGAGGATCAGAACTGCTGTTCCCTGAGCCTGCCTAAACTTACCTACGCAGGCGCTTTAGACCACTGAGCTATCTCACCGGTCCTTTATCTACAGTTTTAAGAAACTTTGGTAAGGACAGATTTCACGGCTGGGCCTGGGGAAGTAGCCACAGACAGAAAGACGCATGGATGGGATGCCAGGAGTCAGCCCGAGGCAGGAAGCTGGGGCGGCCCCTCTCAGCAGGATGCTTTTGATGCGCGCCTGCTTTGATCCCTGCTGTGTAGCTACAGCCCAGGGTGTTCTGCTAGGAAGGAAAACGACTTAGTCTTTCCCGTCCTTGTTTTCCAGGGTGTGATGGCGAAGAAGCACCTGGGGGAGGGGGTGGGTTGTTCTGGTGGTAGAATGAAAGGAAACTAGTCGCTGCAACATGGCTCAGAGCTGAAGCAGAGGAAAGGAGGATGCCACGGGAGGACCCGCGATGTGCAGGAGAGGAGTGCAGAAGGTAGCCCAGAAGACTGTCAGGACGAGAGAGGTCCACGTGGAAGGGCAGGCGCTCAGGAGGGGGTTGACTGAGCTACTCCACGAATGGCACCCTGGGAGCCCGCGCCGGGGGTGGAGGGCATTCTGTCTGCCTCGGAGCACCGTGTGGGGACGCAGGGATCAGCACCTCAGAGACCCCCACACGAAGGAGCAAAGCAGCACAGGGTGGTGGACTATGGCGGGCAGAAGTGGCGTGGGCATGCAGAAAGGCGGCTCCACAGCCCTTCCTGGGGCTCACTGTTAGGAACACAAATTTTGTCATTGTGCCCAAGTTGTATCAGACTTACTAAGTTTATCAGAGGTGTAGATTTAATTCTTTTTGAAAGAAAGCCTCTGTTTTGAAATTATTCTAGGATTGTGCAATGAGCGGAGCCTCCGGTCCTTCTTGTACTAACTTCATGCAGGCGTTATGGGGATGAAGGAAATTTCCACTCCCTTCCCTGAAGGTACACGCTTTCGTTCGCTGGAATAAATGGGTAATAGACATATTAACACAATAACAGGTGTGCTGGAACGTGGAGCTCTCACAGCTCAGTGAGATCCAGAAGGATCTTCCACATTCTTTTACACAGAGGAAAGAATAAGGAGGGGGTTTAGGCGATTCTGAGGGGAACAAATGACTTTTAAGGATGCGGAACCGCCTGGAGACAAGGGCGCCCTGGAAAGTTCCTCTGGGCTCCCGCTGTGGTGTTCGACTTATGGTTTCTTCCTTTGTGATGTCAGTTTCATTTTCCTTAGTGAATGCAATGTTAGTCAGGAGGCGATCGTGCCCCACTTTGGTAGATCCGGTTCTCAAATAGGTAAGGAGACTTTAGAGAAAAGCGTCACCTAGCACCCGCTCATCGCCACCTGATTAATTTCAATAATCAGTGTTATAGTTCGGATGAAAATGTCCCACAAAAGCTCTTGTGTTCAGAGGTGGCTCTGGGCACTGATGCTAACACGAGGGCTCTAACTTCATTTGGGGATTAATTAATCTACTCGTGACTTTCTAATTTGATGGATCCACTGGGCAGTGATGAAAGCGTAGGTGCGGGCCCCTCCTTGAAGGGACTGCGTCAGGAGGGCTTGGCCTTGGACACTAGATCTTGTCACTGGCCCCTGCCTTTCTGACTTTCTTTTTGCTTCCTGGGTCCCCTGAGACAAGCAGCTTCCTCCTCTGCCCCTTCCTACTGCCTCTGTGTTCTGTCTTAAGGCTTATTAATGAAACCTGTTAACCATGGATGGAACCCTTTGAAACGCTGAGCATTTTAGTTGTTTCTTCCTCCTTTACTTTGCTATTTTCAGGTGTTCTGTCACAGCAGCAGGGCACTGAGCTACACAATCAGAAGGAACAAGCTGTGGAGAGCTTTTGCTCTGGTTACAAGGAAAATCCAGCTCTCTGATGCCACACTAAACAGTGAATGGCCAAGTAGCTGTACATGAGCAAATATTTAATGGAACCTGAGTAAAAAAGGAAACATTTTTAAGAATGTGGGGTACTACACAGTTAAGTTGTCCCAGCCCCATATCCTGGTATTGGAAGGGACATATAAGTAGTGGGCAAAATCACTGCAGTTCTTCAAAGGCGTCAATCCATGAGTAGAATACTCCACCCACAAGGCAGGAGGCCTATATATCTTATTTCCTACTAGAATAGTTTCTTATAACATTGCCACTCACTGCACTCATTCAGTGCAGTGACCACCAGGGCATGGATCTCTTCAATCTGTGCATATGGATGCGGATCACAACGGGGTGGAAAGTCATGATTTCCCAAAGTCCTGAGAACCCCTACGCTTGGTCCTTTGTGGTTTAATCTTAAAAGAAAATTAATAACATGATTGCTGGAGTTTTCTCAATGTCTGTTGTGAGGTAGATATTAAGCTAGATAGTTGAGGTACATTCTTCCTAAGCCTTAGAATAGCTCTCCAAGATGTATAGTATCACCCCCCCTTTTACAAATGAGAAAATAGGTTCAGAATATTGAGTATTTCTGAAGTTACCCAGCTAGTAAATAGCAGACCAATGATTCAATCCCTGATCTTACTGCTTACTAAATGGGTTTTAATCATGTTACTTTATCTCCAAAAATGTACGTATCTTAAAAAGCATTATTTCTTGTAATTAAGTGAATATATGTTCATGGTATAAATTTGGGGAATACAGAAATATGTAAGGGAAAAAATCAGTCATGGTATTTCCATTTCATAAACACAAGACACTTCAAGTGACTCACCTTGTTTGCAGTAGTTGTGTTTATTAAGTCGCCATGACTCTGAATTAGTGAGTAATAGTAACAGTGATGCCTTTGGGAGCACCTACGGGAGGAGGCTCTCAGTCAGGAGGTGATGGGTGAGCTAAGGACTGAGGAGTCAGCCTGACTTTGTCAGATGAAGCGTGCAGGGAGATGGGGACCACCCTATGAACAATACAGATGGTTTAGTAAACGCTACTTGATTTGATTCTGAAGGCACTGGAAACAACAGGTAAACTGACTGACCACCAGCATTTTGAGGTGGTGTCCTACAGTTTGAACAGGTTTTACTCCATCTCTTATAGCTCAACTTGTAAATGGTGGATTGCTACAGGGTCCATAAATGTCTGGTTAGACAGTCCAAGGATCTTGTCTTCTGAATTTATCAAGGCAGCTGTACTTGCTTAGCTTTGGACACAAGTGGTGAATTCCATCAAAGCAGAAATTTTGCTGAGTTCTTTGTTAAATAATATCTGGAAATAGAAATTATTCCCATTAAATTTCTAGCTCAGTCATTCTTCTTGAGATAGTAGGTCTTGAGTAGTCTACTCTTTTCTGGTCAATTCTGAGGAAATTTGTACACAGGGGCTCTCAAGAATTGTATATTAAACCATCAGAGAATGTTCATGTAAAATTTAAACTGCTCAATAAAGATTTCTCTTTTCAGATCTGTTTCAGTTAGGAGCAAAGAATAAATGAAGGGAGGAGTAACTATCATTTATGTTTTATATAAGCATAATCTCATATTGTCCTTTTCTAGGTGTTTAAATATATTTATACTTTATTTTTAAAAATAGTGTTGCACTTGACTGAAATTAAGAAAGTAATAAAAATATATTAACAGTAATATTTCTTCATGTCTCCAGAATTCAACAATTGCTATTTATCAATTTCTTATAGTCTCTGTAGGTACAACTGTAAATTTGTATTTAAATATCAAAAGGAATTGGAATGAGCAGAAGGAACAGGATAAACATTAAGCTTCCTAGGCCTTCCATTCACATTGCCTTTTCTTCCAAAAGGTCATGATATAACTCTTAAACAGTTAGGCACGCGGGCAAATATGTCCTTGAGGTTTTTGCTTAAATTGTAAGGGAAAGGGAACTGTTAGTATTTGAGGGCATTTTGCATATTCTTTCTGTTTTAGGAGCTTTATACATGTTATCTCACTTGGACTTTCTTTTTTTAATTTAGGGAAGGGTCTACAGGGTGTTCAGGGTCTCACTACTAGATAAGACTTGTAGTGATCTGCCTGTTTACAGCCTCCCCAGAGCTGGGATTACAGGCGCACCACCACGCCCAGTCTCAGTCTCAGTGCACCCCAGGGGCGGGGCCGGCATGGCAGGCCTGGGGATCAAACCTCCGGCCCCTGTGCCTACTTGCAGGCACTTTAATCCACTGAGCTATTTGGCTGGCCCTTCACTTGGACTTTTAAATCTATGACAAAGAAAGTATTATTTCCATGTTATAAATAAGGAAACTGCACTTGATTAAATTTTTATTAAGACTGCACATAGCTAGTAATTGGTAGTGCCTCAGTTAGAACCCTGTTCTTCATGATGTCAAGGTGGATGCTTAGTCCATATATGTTCTAGGTCCTGTATGTTTATCATTTTGATCATATGTATGTGGACATAAGAATTCACATTAGCTCAGTGGTTCAAAAAAATCCCTAACATATCTGTACCTGGAAATTTGCCCTTCTTAAATTTCTGATGAATAGCACTTTGCATTTGACAGCATAAAGCCCTAAATATTCAGCAGAGTCTAAGAAATCCCCTTTTCTGGAATCCTCTGTCCTGAAAAGAGCAGCATCAGAGGAAGCCTGCAGGTGGCACTGCTGGCTGCAAGTCGCTAAAGCCTAAATCACTGTCACTTTCTTTAAAGAGTATTTAAATAATTACTTTGCAACGTTCAGTATTTTTTAAAAAGTTCCCTTCCACCAGTGCTTGACTGATCTATAAGCCATGCAATTCCTTGCAACTTTTGGTTGATGTTGACCTTTACTTCTCTATTTAATGAACAGTGAATGTGAGGCTTAGCATTCCAGCCCTCCAAATAGGTGGATTATAAAGCCAAGAGGACGCGGAGCATGAATATCAGTTCAACTAAGGGAGAGAGGATCTGATTCTTGGCTTAAGCATAAGGTGCTCATTGACAAATCAGATCACGCAGGTGTCAGGAAGATAGACTGAGACTGCAAGAATCTAAGATAGATGACGTGTTTCCAAGTTATAAATCTGAAAGCTAATGCAAACACAAATACAAAAGTGTGACACATTGTACATAATGAACAAAAATGGCAGGTCTGAGTGTTTTTAGTATGATCATGATTTTAAAGGAAAATTCTTGCTAATTTCTAACCCTAGCAAATCAGATAAGCCTTTTCTTTTTTAAATATGAATAGCATTTTTAATGACATTACTAAATGTTTAGAAAACAGTGAGAAGTATGGCATTGTTTTGCATTCTTACAAATCTCTGTAATGTCTGGTTTAATAGGAAATGGATTCTCATATCTGTTTCTGCATTCAATCTGGTGCAATATGTTATTTTGGCTTAAGTGTATGAAGAAAATCAGCCTTAGTCACACATGCAGCATGAAAAAGAGGAGTGCTTTAAATAGTCTTTTCAAATGATTCTGGATATTCTTTGATACTACAACAAAACTCAGCAGGCTGAACCAGGCTTAGTGGCACACATGGGTAGGCCCAGCTGCTCAGGAGACTGAAGTAAGGGGGTCACTTAAATCCAGGAGTTCAGAGCCAGCCTGAGCAACATAGCAAGACCATCTCCTAAAAACAAATATATGAGAACTCAAAAATTGGTAGCTCCTTAAAGGCTAGTTGGAATGTGGAATTGGAATCTTTAAGAATAAATATTTCGTATTTTGCTTTTAAATTCCATTTATCTATCCTGTCCTTTGAGTGGTTCATACTTATGTACATTATGCATTGATCATTTAGAAAAGATGACTTAATGAGTTATATAAATACTGACAAATTTCACTCATTAACAATTAAAAATAATATTCACTGATACCACTAATCTCATCAGAAAATCTTTAAATAACTGAAGACATCAACCTTTGCAGAGTAAATACATATTGTCTAAAATGCCATTGTCACTTGCAAGCCAGAATCCTATCAGTGGCAACAAATACTGTCAGTTGTTTTCCCTGAAGTGATAAACTCACATTGTATTCTTCTGAAAAAATGTCTGCCAAATACTCGGATCCTAATATCCATAGATGATCCATCAATCACTCCAGATAAGCTTTTGAAGACAAAAAGAGAGCTGCTCCTCCAAGGTTGTCAGAGGTTCTTTGCTGGATGATAAATTATGTAGGATTTAAACTGCCTTTAATTTCCAATCATTTATAATAAGTGGATATTCATTTTAATACTAATCAATCAATATTAAATAAAAAATTAACCAAGACAACCATTTCTCTTACATCTTATGGCTCCATGTCTCTGTCTCTTGGGTGTTACTATAAACACTTTTCTGTTTGTATGAAGGGTAGAGATCTTTGCATGTGGGATGGCTTGCAGAGGTCTCCGTTTAGTGCTGAGCTGTTCCTTCTGTCAGTTGTGCAGAACAGTGGCTGTGCTTTTCTTCGGGAACCAAAGTCAGCTCAAAGGAGCTGGCTCGCCGGGCCTCACCTCTCCTCCCGGGGTTAGGCTCCATGCGATGAGCGGCTTATGAGCAGGTGCAAGCCTCACTTTGGGGCAATTCTGAGCAGTCACCGCAGCTCCAGAGCTCCCTGTGGTCAGCTGTAGCTGTGTCGGAACTGCCCTGCAGCCCATGGCTTCCTTTCACCCCATCCTCCCTCCACTGCTTTCCTGTAGTTGTTGTTCTCAAATAAACTTTCTATGTACAAAGAGTACCCCAGTACTGCGGGGAACCTCACTTAATTGAGACAGCACTGGGAAG